TCACTGCTCTGCCCCCTGCCCTGTGGCCTGCCCTCCCCCTTCACTGCTCTGCATCCTGCCCTGTGGTCCGGTCCTCCCACCTGCCACCCAGGACTGAGCTTGGGCTCGCTCTTTCCCCAACAGGATCGGCCTGTCACAGCTCGAAGGTTTCCGAAGGCAGCTTCTGGATGTCCTGCAGCGTAGCACCAAGCCCAAAGTGAGCAGGTGCCCCCAGGGGAAGGCCATCCCCGCCACAGTTGTGCCAGGGCCAGGGCCTGTGTCTTCCAGGTCCCTGAGGGTTATGTTGGGGGTCAGGAAGGAAGTCCAGTGGTCAGAACTCCCATTTTGATGTCACTTTAAGATTCAGACACCTTCCTCACATCCACTTTGTAAGGGAAATAGAGCGCATATCCCCATTTTATGGATAAAGAAACCAAGACTCAGCATGGTTCTGTGACTTCAGAGGTCATGGTCTGAGCCTTCCCATCAGCACTCTGAAGGAGGGAGACCCCATCATGGGAGGATCAGCTGAATGGACTAGGGACATTTAGCCTAAAGAAGAGAAGGCCTGGGGGACGGCCATGGGTGTGGAATCTAGACTTGTTCTCTTTGGCCCTAGGACGCTGGGCTGGGGGTGAGGGGAGTCCTAGAGAGGCAGACCGAGGCCTGGGGTCAGGCCTTTAATGGAGGCTAGAGGCTGGAGGCCTACTCCTCAGGGAGGCTGTAGGGTCGGCTAGACTGGACACCTCTCCAAGCATTCCTAGAGTGAGGAACCTGGGTTCAAATCCTGCCTTGGACACATCGTGACCTATGTGGCCTGGGGTGGGTGAGTTAGCCTATCTAAGCCTCAGCCTTTTCATCTGCACAGTGGGGACAGTATGTCCAGTTTAGCCCACAGGCTCGTTAAAGGGAAATGCTTTGTTGTCCTTCAGGCAGGACAGAAATGTGAATTGTGGGGGCAGTTAGGTATGCAGTGGATAGAGCACCGGCCCTGGATTCAGGAGGACCTGAGTTCAAATCCGGCCTCAGACACGTAGCTCTTGCTAGCTGTGTGACTGTGGGCAAGTCACTTAACCCCATTGCCTCGCCAAAAAAAAAAAAAAAAAAGAAATGTGAATTGTGTGACCTTGGGCTGGTCATTTCGACCCGTGCTTTCTCCCTCGTGGCTCGGGGCTGAGCAGTACGGCCTGGGGGTGGTGATCAGACAGTGGACAGGCATTTGTGAAGCCCCTCTTATGGGAGGGGTCTTAGGGACACCCAGGGAGCCTCTCCCCGCCTTGGGGGAGTCAGCATCCTCCCCCGCGTCGTCCGTCTCTCCAAAGCCAGACAGTGCCTGGCGTGTGGTAGGTGCTTCGTAAAGGCTTGTGACATGATTGGGTGACTGAGCCAGTCAGCCTCCGGGAAGCCTGGGCCCGGGCGGCAGCCCGTCCTTGGCCAGTAGGACCTCCGTGCGCTGGCAGGAAGCTTGCCGGGCGTGGCCGCAGGCGGCGGTGTCGGCCTGCTGCGCCAGGCCTTCCCACCGTCCCGTGAGCACTGGTGCTTCCCTGCTGCCTGGCCCTGCCACGACTTCTCTTCGCAGCCGCGCCCTCCCCCACCACGCCCCTCTGGGGACGATGCTCAGTTTCCTGTTTCTTTCTGCCCTCTTCCCAAACCTAGTGGCGCATCATCATTGGAGCAACCAAGTGTATCCCCAAGTCAGAGCTGCCAGAGGAGGCCGAAGTGACCGCCATGGCCAGCAACCGCCTCTGGACCCACCCCAGCGACCTGACCATCGCCCTGTCAGCCAGCACACCCCTGTACCCCCCGGGCCGCATCATCCACGTGGTGCACAACCACCCCGCCGAGCACTGCTGGTAGGCACCGTAGGGCACCGCGCGGCCGAGGAAGGGCAGCCCAGGGGCACCAGCCTCTGCGGCCAGGGCCCGTCTGCTCCGGGCCTCTGCCCAGTCCGGCTGCCCACGGCCCGGGTTGCTGGAACGGGGCAGAGCCCGGGGAGGGGAGGGAGAAGGGGGCGGTCAGATGGCCTCTCTGATCCCTGTGTCGATGTCTGTATGTCTGTCCCAGCTGCTGTGAGCAGGAAGAGCCCACGTATTTTGCTATCTGGGGGGACAACAAGGCCTTCAATGAAGTGATCATCTCTCCAGCCATGCTCCATGAGCACCTGCCTTATGTGGTCATGGAGGGACTTAACAAGGTAAGGGGGAGCCTGGCCCCCCACTCTGGAGAAGCCAGCAGGAGCTCCTGCCCAGAGCGGGGCCAGCTGCACAAGCTGTCACAGGGGGCACAAGGCCCTGCCACGTAGCCCTGGCCAGGCATCCTGCGACCTGGTGGTCCAAGGCTGAGGGGGTCCGGCTCAGTTGTTTACAGGATGTTTTCGTGATGTTTCCTCTCTGTGTCCCCTTTTCCACCTGGTTGCCACTTTGTAATGACTCCCCCGATCCCAATAGAACCTTTCCTTATTATGGAAGTGAAGCAAAACAAATGAAGGAGTGGGCCAGGACTGACCTTTCTCGTCCTCTCCCTTCCCCCTCCTCCCCTCTCCCTCCTCCCCTCCCCCCTCTCTCTCCCTCCCCTCTCCCTCCTCCCCTCTCCCTCCTCCACCTTCCTTCCCCTCTCACTCTCCCTCCTCCTCGTCCTTCCCCTCTCCCTCTTCCCCTTCCTTCCCCTTTCCCCTCTCCCTCCTCCCCCCTCCTCCCCCTCCTTCCCTTCCCTTGCTCCGTCCTCCTCCTCATCTTTGACCCACCTCACCCCCCCTTCATTTGACACTCTTCCCTCTCCCTCCCCCAAGGCCCCAGGAGTCTCTTCAGTGTCCTCCTCAGGATTTCCCCTCCTGTCCTGGCATACTTTGTCCTGGCTTGGCATCCTTTGCTTTGCATAGGTCCCATGGGTTTTCGCTTTGAATCCGTCTCATTTGTCATTTCTCATAACACAATAACAGACTGGCCCTTCCTAATGGAAGGCCTAACCCTAGCCCCCACCCTGTTACCATGGGCAGGTCTGTCCTGGTGCTCTCCCCCTCCCCTAGTCCATGGGCAGCCGCCGTGCTTCTTGATCCAGTGGGCACCTTCTCTTTGCTACCACAGAAAGGGTCCCCGTTAATACACTGGCGTCCGTAGGACTTTCCCTTCGATCTTCCCCCTCCTCGGGGGATGGGGCCATAGTGGTATAGATACCCGAGGGCGCGTGCGGTTCGGCGATTCTTCTTGTCTGGTTCTCAACTAGAAGGGGGAGGTCGCAACTCCCACCCCAGCACACCAGGGCCCTTCCCTTTTCTGTCACCTTTGTCCATCTGAGGGACCTGAGGTGGAACCTCACAGCCCCTTTAATTTAATGATTAATGACCTGGTGCATTTCACATGGTCATTGATAGCTGGTATTCCTCCTTTTGAAAGGTGATTTTGACCCCTGGTCTGTTAGGGGCTGCGCTTGTCCTTCGTTATGTTAATTCCCTCTCTACCCTGCCAATGCTGGAGAATTTCTGAGCTGTGTGGCCCAAAGGTTCTCAGCACCTACATGTATGTGCTCCCTTCCGAGGCCTCAGAAAGGTCTTAGGACACTTGGCTAGTTACGTAGGGGCCGAAGCTGAGGCCTCAGCAGCCAAGAGGAGAATTGAGTGCAGCCCCTCACTCCTTCCTCAGAGAGGAGGCCCTTCCTCACTGGTCACCATGGGTGAGGCCCTGGACCTCTCTGGGCTTCAGGGGCCTCATTCTCAAACTTCATGCTTTGTTACACCAACCACCACTTGGGCAGCTGACAAGCAGCGGCATAGAGGGACTTGTCCCTCTCTTTCTACCTCCTGCCCCCAGGCCTCCTCTGGGCAGGAGATCATGGGTCAGAGGAGAGAAGTAGAAAGATGAGCCCGGGACAGTTGGGAGTCCTTGGTTGACCTGCTTGGAGTGAGTGGGCAGGGTTGCCTCAGGGAGCCCTCAGCACCTTCTACAGGGTAAGGGTCCCAGCCTAGGGGTGGAGAACGCCTCCCTAGGGGCCTTCCTTGTGGCTAGGGCCCCAACACTTCCTGGTGGCAGTGTAGGACAGTGGGAAGGACTGCCACCTACTCCCTGTGTAACTTTAGGCAAGTCCCTGAACCCCTGGGCCTTAATATTTTCATCTGCAAAAGGAGGAAAATAACGCAGTGGATAGAGCGCTGGGCCTGGAGTCAGGAAGACTCATTTCTCTGAGTTCAGATCCAGCCTCAGACACTTACTAGCTGTGTGACCCTGGACAAGTCCCTTCCCCCATTTGCCTCAGTTTCCCTCATCTGCAAAATGAGCCAGAGAAGGAAATGGCAAACCCCTCCAGTATCTCTGCCAAGAAAACCCCAAAGGGGGTCACAGGGAGCAGGACGGGATTGGAACGACTCAGCAATAGCATCCAGCTCCAGGGCTGGTCTGGAGAGTCAAAGATGATGATGCCTGCAAAGCGTCATGAGCCTCGAGGGGCTGCCCGTGTGGGAGCCGGTCCTGGGGTTCATTGTCATCATCATCGTCATCGTCGTTGTCACCATTATCACCATTGTCGCCATCATCGTCATCACCACC